AAAACACGTCTTTCTGCTTTAACTTTCAATTAGTACTCATCCTCCTTGTGTCTGGCCCTAAAAGCTGCCAAGCTGGGCACGGCCCCTTTTTCCCTAGTTTCTCCTCTCTTGTTATTCAGGACTGTGCTGGACCATCGAAGAGCGGGCTACTTAGGAGATATTGTCCCGTTAATTAGTTGTAGCTGAAAGTAGGGCTGGGCAATAAAACAATAATGATAATTATCGCTATATAATTTTCCTTAATAACAATATAATTAATGTGCAATATATCGTTATTTAATATTTGGTTTAATTCCTTTGAATCACTTACAAATTATTATTTTGTTAAGAAAAAGGGACTGAAAAAAGATTTACTAATCAAATTTGTTGAGAAAGATTTTATCATAATAGTTTTGAATATTCTACCTCAGATTTGTGAAGTGATCCACTGTTTGGCATCAAGTGTTTGTCACATTCTGACCAAACAGGAAAGTTTAACCACATAATTTAACCATCTGGTTTTTTAAATTTTCACTCAGGAGCAAAAATCAGCCATTAAACTTGAAAGAAATAATGATTTGACATATATCGTGATAATTATCGATATCGAATAATTTGAAATGTTTTTATCGTGATAACATTTTTGGCCATATCGCCCAGCCTTATTTGAAAGGCAGTTCTAGTTCTATATCTCTCAAATACTGTTAAACACATAATTTCACATCCTGTACCTCCAAACTTGAATTATTCACACTGACCTGTATGTGGCAGAGGGCAGTGAACCTCATCTCTCTGGACACGCTCCCACAGGCGGCCAGCAGGGGTCCACGTACTCGTTCCAGGGCCGCCAGACTGACAGCAGGCAGGCCGGAGCAGAGGTTGAGGAAGAGGCTGAGAGTAGCGGCCGTGACCGGGGGGTGGGGGCTGACCAGGGAGGCATCCAGCAGGGACAAGATGTCAAAGAGCTCTTCCTCTGACTGAGGCCGGTAGCGCTGGAGGATCCTCAACACCTCGCACTGACCCCAAACATCACACTCCTTCAACCTTGCAGGACAGACACACAGACATGAAGTCTTCAACATCATAACAAGGGCAGTGGTGAGCACCACATGTGGATTAATCCTCGCTAGTAACTCTAGCTATTAAGGAGGAGTATTTTAGAGTAATTGTTTTATATCATAGTTTTAAACATGTTGCCAGCTGTTATAAGAAATGATGGAGCGTTTTTTAGCCATGCTAGCAGTGCGGCAAGATGGATTGCCACAGATTTTTGTACAAACATTTATGGCTCCCAGAGAATAAATCATAATGACTGTGATGATCCCCTGACTTTTTCCTTTTGAAATATAAATGTACAGCCTCACAGAGCAGTTAGCATGACTGCAGACCCTTATAAACACAAAACTATATATTTTATAGATTGACGTACTTCAGGATAGACCACTGGGTTTGGGGAAAGAAAGAACACTTATTGTTAAAAATAAACATGTAAGCTATCCACAGCTGTATCCTTGAAGTACAGTACTTTGTACAGGACTATTATCCTGGCATCTGAAAATTGTGTTTTTCATGTAAATCTAACTGAAAATCAAATGCTAGGAAATAGTTTCTCTGGGAATGCTGGAGACAAAAAACTCTGAGTGATTCGATGTGAGGCATCTAGAAAGCTCTCCCTACCTGTAACGCAGAGAGAAATCTGTCAGGAGGCACCAGGGAGCAATTTGGCTTTGCTGATTTGATAAACTGTCTGTAGCTAAATGGTTGATCGACACACACAGAGACTCAGTGCTGCAGATTACATGCAAAATGAATACAAAATCACTAGGAAGAAAGAACAAAGGCCCTCTACTTCTATGAAATCATACAAAGTGCATTTACTAAGTAGCACATACACAAAGATATATAAAACCGTTTAATATTCACCCCAACACTTTGTATGTGACACACTTGAATCTCATAGGGCAGGGGTTTTCAAAGTCAGAGACTGTGGGCCCTCCCTCAGACAAAACTTGGGAAAAGGCGGCCCCTCACCCCCAATAAGTGTAGGCCTACTTGCTTGGGTTTGCTCAGTTCCTGGATACCTATGGGATCATGGCTGTGTTATTTGATCCTATAGACGCTTCACAGTTGAGCCAAGGTAGCCTAATATTGCTGTTTGACACCAAATACATTACAAAAGGTCTGTCCTAAGGCATTTATTCATTTCTGACTCTGGGAAAGTGGAAAAACAGTAAAATTCCCCACAACTACAGTACCTCCGAACTATCTCTTAACAAAATCACACACATTTAGGCTGTTCTCCTTTTAATAACTAATCTAATAACTAATGGAATGTTTTAATTCCCATTCTCTGCGCCTCTCCTCTCCAGATTAGACAGGGGAAAAAATACAGCGAGAATAACCAATCAGAAGGTACAAGATTATAACTGCTATAGTCAATAAACGGCTTCACATGAATGTCACCATGTGGTACAGCTGTAACCACTTAAATCCAATATTGAGCTGTCAATTTTCCTCGTCAAGTGTCCCTACACAAAGGAAATGCGGTCCAAACCTAACACTGTGACATGGGTCTCTGATGTTCTAACTCTGGGCCAACCTGTTGAGGAGGTGATGGGTTATAGGTTTGTTAATAGCGACTCCTCCCTCCTCCTTCAGGATCTCCTCCAGAGCTCGGAGGCAGTTGACCATCACCACTGGGTCTGGGTCCCTCAGCAGGCTGTAAAGCTCATTCACCACTGCAGCATCTGGAAGAATCATGAACAAGTTTGTGGACTTGGTGTGGATGCATACATACAAAATCATGCACTACAGTTTTAAGCTCCAGAGTAATGACCCATGTTGTTAAATTTTTTAAAAGATCCACAAGGAATATAATGAAAGACCATCTCAGATAACATGTTCAACTGCTATGCAACATTTAGTAGCGGCTAACGTAACCTGAAGCCTGTAGCCTGCAGCAGAGACGAGCAGCCGGCTACAGAGGTCTAGTGAGTCCGCTTCTTTCTAACTCCACACCAACAGATTTGTTTCACTGAGACCTGGTTCAAACCAGAAAACTCTGCTACCCCCGCTGCGCTGTCCACCAATTACTCTTTCACCCACACCCCCCGGCCGTCTGGGAGGGGGGTGTGGGACTGGGTTCTTAATTTCCAACAAATGGAAATTCACACAGCTGCTACCCCCGAATCAATGTGCCTCCTTTGAATACCATGCTGTCTTTGTGTCCGCTCCGGTAAAGGTCTCTGTGATTGACATATACCGTCCACCAGGACAAATGGGAGCTAGACACACTGCTGTCTTCAATCCCAGAGCATGACTGTCCCCTACTTGTCCTCGGTGACATGAACATTCACTTAGACAATTCAAACTCAGCAGACTTACTGTCTCTGATTCAGTCCTTTGATCTAACACGGGTTCTCAGCCCCCCGACCCACAAAGCTGGCAAGGAGCTTGACCTCATTCTTGTCCGAAACAGTGCCACAGAGTGCCTAACAGTCATACCTCTACATGTGTCAGACCACTATTTCATTCAGTTCACGGTACGCCTACAGGAAAAGCCCATTCTTCCAACACCGTTGGTCTCACACCGCCGCAACCTCTGCGACCTGTCTCCCGCTCTCTTTGCCTCAGTGGTAGCTTCCACTCTACCTCCCCTAAACACATTTTCCTCACTTGAGGTCAATGATGCCGCACAATCTCTGTGCTCTACACTAAGCTCATGCCTGGATAGCCTGTGTCCTCTATCCACCAAGCCTGCTCGCCCAAACCAGCCCCACCCGTGGCTAACTGATACCATCCGTGGGCTCCGTACTGATCCAAGAGCGGCTGAAAGAAAATGGCGAACCCCGCCGACCTTAAGGGCTAACAATTGCTCCTATCCTCCTTCTCAACCAGTATCAGTGCTGCCAAAACTGCATTCTATAATGACAGAATAAGCAGTGCCACTGACTCAAGGAAATGATTTTCCACTTTTAAAGCGCTACTAAATCCTCCTCCACCTCCACCACCCACAAACTTGTCTGCTGATACCTTTGCTGCCTTCTTCACAGGCAAAGTGGCGGCTATAACTAGCCAATTCTCTGAAACACTCAAACTCAACCATTGTAGCAGTCCTACTACATGCCCACTGGACCCGATTCCTACGAATCTCCTCCAAGCCATATCTCCTACTGTGGTCCCGACAATCACTCATGTGATAAATACTTCTCTGGCTTCAGGAACCTTCCCGCCCACTTTCAAAAGGGCTCTGGTTACACCCTTGACCCAACTCAAGTTGAGAACTATCGACCGGTGTCCCTTCTACCATTTTTATCCAAAACTATTGAAACTATATACAGGTACTGGCCAAGCCCAAACCTGCTTAGCTTCGGTCAATCAGCAGTAGCAGAGTTTAAATTGGTATAGGGTAGTTCTGTGTATAACTGTACTGAATTATATATTGGCTAAATTTTAGATTTTGTGTTGTCTCACACATATAGAGCTGTTTGTCCTGTGAAAAACAAAAATAAAATAAAATTGCTCTCCTTGATGGAAAGGAGAGCAATCATGTTTGAATACTTTTACTTAGGGCTGGACAATAAAACAATAACAATAATTATCGCGATATAGTTTTTTTCAATAACAATATAACAAATGTTCAGTAAATATTCAATAAATGTTTGATTTGATAAACTTGAATCACATATGAATCAGGACTGAATTTTTTATTAAGATGTTTATTTTGTTGAGGAAAAAGGACAGAACAAAAGCTTTTACTTAATTTTACTCATGCATATTTGTTGAAAAAGATTTTATCATAATTGTTTTGAATGTTCTCCCTCAGATTTGTGAAGTGATCCACTGTTTGTAATCAAATGTTTGTCACGTTCTGACCATAAAGAAAAGTTTAAACCACAATTAACATAATTAATCAGGTTTCTTCAACATTCACTGAGGAGCAAAAATCAGCCTTTAAACTCAAAAGAAATAACGATTTGATACTTATCGTGATAATTATCGATATCGAAAGATATAAACATTTTTATCGTGATAACATTTTTGGTCATATTGTCCAGCCCTACTTTCACCGCACATATAATCATGTTAATTTCCATCATGTTTGAGTATAAGCTGAATTGTTACAAGGTAACCTTTGACTGACCTCCTCTAAGGCATTGTTGATGTAGAAGCAAGGATTATGGGAAGTTTATATCCAAGGAAGGTTTGTCAAGTGCTCACCACTGCAAGAAAGTTCAACAAGCAGACAGGTAGTAAAACGTGGAGCCGAACCAGATACAGGAGCTCTTGACAGAAGTGGCGTTTCCCACCAGAGGAACGTCACAGAAAGACTTCCTGGTATATGAGCACTTTGACATGAGAGCAGAATAAGGATGTTTGCTGACAGAACAACCTTGACCAGAGGGAAACCCGGTCCAAGGTGAAAGAAGTGAAAAGCTTCTTATCTGGGTGCACACTGCCAAATATGACACTACTGTAGATTTGTGTCAGAGTGGAAATGCATAACTGCCATGATATGATACTATTTGTAATGTAAAGCCTGGACAGATATAAGGGGGCTGAGGCTCGGCCATTAGCTTAGCCGTGGTTTTAATATTAAGATGGGTTTAAAACGGTGTTCAAATCACACGGTCTCTTCAAACCCAGCTGCCATGACCTGCATAAAGCATCTAATTGCCACTAGCAGTCTTAGGTTTCAGGTCACAGAGTTCAGTCTCAGCCCAGATTTCTTCAGCTCAAATCATTTTATTAAAATTTAAAAGTTAAAATCTTTCTTCCCCGCCAGTTTGCGTTACAAAATTATGCTCTACATGCACTAATAGTTAACTTTGCATTCTGACCTAACAGGGATGTTTTCTTCTTCTGGGATATTAGACATTTTCCACACATTACTTTTTCAATATCTGCAATTTAAGGTTCTTAAGGTTTCTTTATGCGAGTGCTGGTGACCCTGATAAAGGGCACAGGTTTAAATGTTTTATAACAAAATACTACAAACGCTGCAGAAGCTTTGTTACTTCAGGACTGCCTCCCTTGTCCATGCACCTTAGAAACAGAAAGAAAAACAGAAACAGGAAAGCCATCCATCCATCCTACCGATGTCAGAGCTGCGTTGGAGATTGTATAGTTTGGCCCAGCCGAGTACAGCCACTCGTCGTACACAAGCTGCTCTGTCCCTTAGTCCTGCTGTCAGAGGCTGCTCCAGATACTCCACCAGACTGGGTAGCCTGGGACGCAAAGTCAAAAAACAGATTATTCCAGCAGTCTGCCTGATATGACGACTTGTACTGTGGTCGATGTGTGCAGAAACTCACCTGAGGTTGGTCATGTTCCTCAGGGCCAGGCTGCGGACCATGGGGTTTGGATCCTGGCAATCTTTCCTCAGCGTGTTGATGACCAGCAGAGACAGCTCTGGGTTTAAAGTGGCATAGGCACACAGGAACACATAGACCAGTTTCTTCTGGACTATGTCCACTGTGGCACATGCTTTCACCATCTCACTGAACAGGCCGGACACATCCACCCCCTGTGACATCGTCCTGAGACAGAGAAAAGGGTGAAAGAGTGAGGAAACCACTGTTAACCCTAATGCATTTATTGATATCTTAATATTGTGATATTTTTATCTAAAAGAGTGGGTTGGCATGGGGAACACAATACTTGTACAAGCACAGGGTCTTTTAACTGTATGTAATGGGTTTCGTCTTGCAGGCCCAAGTCTTTGTTCACTGTTAAGATGACGACACACAGTTGCTCGGCTGCATACGTCCAACTGCTCAGCAAGGTAACCAATGTTACGGTGTCCTGCTGTTCTGTGGAAAACTACTCTGGCCATGTGCAGCATGAATTCACATTGTGGTTGAAATTATTATAAACTGACTTCTTTATTTAAATGATTGGTTGCTGTAGTGTTAAACTGCACTTGCTGCTGCCACCAGACAGGTGTTACAAAATCAACCAGGAAGAAAATCTTATGGATTAGAACTTTAACATCACCGGTGATTATCTAATGAAAATGTGTGAAAATGGGAAAAGAAGTCCAAGGTGATGTCTTTGAAATGTCTTGTTTTGTTTGACCAATAACGCAAAAACCCAAATACACTCACCGGCCACTTTATTAGGTACATCTGTTTGTTAACACAAATAGCTAATCAGCCAATCACATGGCAACAGCTCAGTGCATTCAAGCATGTAGACGTGGTCCAGACAACTTGCTGAAGTTCAAATTGAGCGTTAGAATAGGGAAGAAAGGGGATTTAAGTGACTTTGAACGTGGCATGGTTGATGGTGCCAGACGAGCTGGTCTGAGTATTTCAGAAACTGCTGATCTACTGGGATTTTCACACACAACCGTCTTTAGGGTTTACAGAGTCTGAGAAAGATAAAATATCCAGTGAGCGGCAGTTGTGTGGACGAAAATGCCTCGTTGATGTCAGAGGAGAATGGGCAGACTGGTTCAAGATGACAGAAAGGCAACAGTAACTCAAATAAGCACTCGTTACAACCCAGGTGTGCAGAATACCATCTCTGAATGCACAACACGTCGAACCTTCAAGCAGATGGGCTACAGCAGTAGAAGACCACATCGGGTGCCACTCCTGTCAGCGAAGAACAGGAAACTGAGACCACAATTCACACAGGCTCACCAAAACTGGACAATAGAAGATTGGAAAAACGTTGTCTGGTCTGATGAGTCTCGATTTCAGCTGCAACATTCAGATGGTGGGGTTAAGAATTTGCCATAAACAACATGAAAGCATGGATCCATCCTGGCTTGCATCAAGGCTAGTGGTGGTGGTGTAATGGTTTGGGGGATATTTTTTCGGCACACTTTGGGCCTATTAGCACCAAATGAGCATCGTTTGAACATGACAGCCTACCTGAGTCTTGTTGCTGACCATGTCCATCCCTTTATGACCACAGTGTACCCATCTCCTGATGGCTACTTCCAGCAGGATAATGCACCATGCCACAAAGCTCAAATCATCTCAAACTGGTTTCTTGAACATGACAATGAGTTCACTGTACTCCAGTGGCCTCCACAGTCACCAGATCTCAATCCAATAGAGCACCTTTGGGATGATTCGCATCATGGATGTGTAGACAACAAATCTGCAGCAACTGCGTGATGCTGTCATGTCAATATGGACCAAAGACTCTGAGGAAGTATGTTCTGAAGGCAAAAGGGGGTCCAACACTGTACTAGCAAGGTGTACCTAATAAAGTGGCCAGTGATGTTTATTTAGTGCTATGATCGACTGAGTAATCAATTAATTTTTTCTACAAATAATGAAGCTGCCATGTTCTGGCTGGTTCAGTTTGCATTAACATAGCTGGAAATGTGTAAATTATATGTTTATCACTGAGGTCATAGCAAAAGGTGTAGTTGTACTGGACATCATCATATTGAGAGGTGCTTCAAACCCTTTGTCCTCTTTATTGACATACACGAGGGCAGAATATTAGAAACGCTTGTGCTTACAGTGCAGTACCACTAACTATTTTATATAGTGGTATCAAAAACCCCTGAAGACTACAGGCATCATAAAAGTGTTGTTGAATGCCATTAGAGACAGCTGCAGTTTGCTGCCCTGGGGGCTCCTGATGGACCAGTGGGGCCATGCAGATGGAGAGGGGCACCCTGTCTGTCTGTCACCTACCTGATGACCTTGAGGATGGTGTTCCTGTAGCGCAGCTGGTCGGACTGGATGTTGGGGTTGGACAGAGCTCTCCTCAGCTCCTTCACTGTGTCCTCTCCGCCCAGATAAGGCATGGTGGCCGCAGACAGCAGGAATCACACGCCGCTGGCTCTCACGTTAAAGTAGACACATGCACATGATTAAGCACCAAAAGAAGAAGACTTCATGACAGAAATTAAAACAACAAGCGTTTAAATGTTCGTACAGAAGGAGTAACGTCCAGTCGAGCTTTGACTCAACCTTGTAAATCTGAAATCTCACTGGCGACACTGCATTATTATTAACACATCAATGTGTTACTTTTAAAGGCATTACCACTTCAAATTAGGGATTTCATTCGTAACGCTACTTGGGTGAGTCGGTTGTTTACATCGTGCACACTTCCGCATTTTCTTCTTCTGCATGCACCTTCTCTAGTTAATCACAACATGCCGCTCTCTGCTGGTTGGTGCAGGATTAACACCTTCCTTTATTGATCCCCTGTAGGGAAATTCAAGTTGGTGCAGCAGTAGAATCTATGATAAAATCAGGAAATAGAATATGGTATCTATTGTGTACAGCTGCGCATGTGCAGAAAATGAATTTTGCTTGTCAGTTGTCAGAGTCTCTACCAGGGGAGCTGGGAGATGTTGGGGGCTGTGAGGTCTGATGGCATCAAGCGCTTTGAGGTGCAGGACTGGACTAAGCTGTGGCTGAAGGTGCTCCTGAGCAGCCTCATAGAGAGGATGAGAGGGGCTGTCCAGGATGGTCAGATTGATCACTTTATAATATATGATGCAATTTTATACATTAACCTAACAGAGGGACAAGATAAACCCACCAAGGGGCAAAAATAAACTTGGGCGCAACACAGATGTGACCCTGTTCCTTTCACTTTCTGTGCACAGCGTCACCTGTCACCTCCAGGTGTGCATCTTGTACACAGCTTCTTCATTACATTTTGCCTAAAGACCCAGAAACCAAGCAGTAGTCATTTCCTGGAATACCCGTCCTCCAGGTCTGCACAATGTCAGATTAGTCCAGGGTCATTTGATCAAACAGAAATTTGTTGAATCAAGCATCGTTATCTCAACTGAAGTAATAATGAGGCTTTTACCGTTTAAGTTATTGTCCTTCAGTGGTGAACAAATGACCAAATGACACAGTGAACCTCAGGCACGATCCCAACCATCACCACCTACAACATTCCATGTGTCCTCACTGGTGTGTCTTGCTGGGACAACATCAAACTCTTCAGCCAATGTACAATTGAAGTTCTTTCACACAACACCCAAACAATATTTCAGTCAAAGTTGATGATGGTTTTTATTGATTGTGAAAAGCAGGAAACCTACAAACACAGAGAGCTTTAGACCTCCAGCAGCATGAGTCCGACCCCGATCCGAAGGCAACATCCACTCTACCTGACCCCCTTAGCTGGGGTTTAAAAGGCAGAGCTTCATAAAAAGGAAGGGTGGGAGGGACTTAGTGCTGGACAGCCAATCAGCTGACATAGACGGACACTCTGACCAACACCCAGCGGGTCCAAAGGAAGCTGCTCAAGCCTTCCTCTGGGCTGTGTGGGCAGAGCCAGGTGCCAGGACCGATGAACGGTTTATTTTCATTCACATGAGACATGATCATCATCCACTTCCAAAACAAAACAAAAAGTCAACAAGAATCCCCTGTTCCACTTCCCCACAGCAAAAGCACACCAGTCAAATGATAAAATACTCAAACACACACACACACATTCAATTTTCATTATTCGCTGGCAAGAATGATTTGGAATGTTTTCTCTTTAGAAGTGAGACTAATTTTTTCCTGAAATCTTTTTGCATTTAGATGAATTATATAAAGTCAGATGTCTATGTGGATTAGGAAAGGAATAACGGAAAGGCAGGGGAGGTGTAGGCCAGTGTAACACACTGAATTTACATTTAATGCCAAAATGGTGAAGGGTATGCCTTTTCTCAGCAGCTCTTTCCAAAGATGGATAAATAATAATGTTTGCTGTCCATTTCCTCTCCAACTGGACAGCAACATCAACACAATCACACACACTCGCACACCAGACCAGTGTCGGGGGAGGAGGGGGGGCAGTGTCTATGACAAATTGGGGCTAGGAGCAGGGCTGGTGGAGCTGTTGTCCTGATTGGCTGCCTGGCTTCCTCGTGGTGGAACCTCAATAATGCGGGGCTTGTCGATGATGCGAGCGCGGCGGTCACCTTTCTCTACAATCCCGATGATCCATGCTCCGCCCGCCGCCCCCTGACCTCCAGCTCCGGAGCTCTGACTCTTCATCTCCGAGCAAAACTTGGCCGCCTGCTCTCTGGGCAGACACACCAGCAGCCCGCCTGGAAGGAAGAAGAAAAAGATCGAGTTCAGGGTTCCAATACTGGGGTTTTAATGATATATACTTTCAAACAATAATCATTTCACCAAATTATGACTTAATCCATGTTGCATTATCACCTTATTAGCATTGACAACTCAGAAACCCCCCCTTACTGTATGTTTACAAACAGACAAGAGAACATTACTGTGTGTAAACCTCAGTATTCATACCAGAAGTCTCTGATGATGTGCCCTGGAGCAGGTTGAACGCGTTGCCACAGGCTTTGCTGATGGCAGCCATCTTGGCCAGGATTGGTAGGTTGTGGATGACAAAGGCCACCTCGTTTCGTTGCTGTGCTGCCAGGTTGTTGGCGTGCCCCAACAACCCGAAACCGGTCACATCCGTTGCAGCGTGGGCCTGGAACTTGTGCATTAGACTGGCCGCTGGAGACAAAAACATGAATGTGGGGAAGTCAGAAAGGAACAACTTTATAAAACAAACAAACAAAAAAAAACTTATACAACAAGTACAAAACAAATCACAGAAAGAGTTAAACTGGACCCAAAACCATCTAAAAAGGAGATCCAGGCCAATGTAAGTTTTTTCCCCTCTCACAACTAAAAACTGTAAGGCTGAGAGCAAGTTCAGATCAATGGTGTACAAACCACATACTGTAAAAGCAACCATTACAGAACCTCTCAGCTGTAAATGAAAGGGTAAACACGTTTTCCGGACCAGTGGTGATGACTGCGTTGTGTACCTGTGCGGTTTAGCGTTGCCATAGAGAACATGGCTTCCTGATAGACCTCTTTAACTTCCTCTTTGGTGACGACTAGCTTGATCTTGTTCCACCTTTCAGGCTGATATAAACAGAGGGGGGGGTGAGCACAATATCACGCAAACACTCCAAATAATGTTTACGTGAGCCGAGGCGAGCGGCTCACCTGATCGAGCCACTGGTGAGCATTCACCGCCACCTGAGTCCCCAGAGGTTTAGTCAGAACCAAGACATCACCTGGAACAGCACCATCCGGCCTGCAGAAAAACAAAACACGCAAATTGCATATTTACTGTCCAGGGAAACCATGTATCTCAAAATGTGGTGATTTGCATTTTTCTATATAGACCCAAGTTTAAATGTTCTTTTATCTGTGACATGAACAAATTACAATACAGTCGAGGGGGACGATGTATAATCAATGGTTCCTTTATTTGATTTATTTTCATCAATTTGTGTCACTTATATTTTGATTTATTTGTCTTTCTATGTATTAATAGCGGGTAAAATGTAAGTGCAGGTCAAAGGTGGACATGTAAAAACATTTTAAACTGTAAATCTGTATTCAAAAATTGTATCAATCAAGAATCCCGTAGACTCAGTCACTGCCATACTTTTACTTACAAAGCCATAATGGGTCTGTAACAAATATTAAATGATTATGATTAGTGCAGTTACCAAAGACACAATAACCCTTTAACTGACTCACATGATGAACTCATTTGGCTGGCAGACGACAGACGCTACTCCGCCCACAATGATCCAGGGGTTGATCACCGTCTGGCCACCTGTCACAGAAGTCCCTCCCTCCTCTGCTGCGTCACGAAACCCTCGAATCATCAGCGGCATCACCCGCTCACGGTCCTGTGTCATACATACAGACGATACTGAATCATGAAAGGACACCTTAGTGCACCTTAAAGAAATCAAAACATACACATGTAAAATCCCCAAGTCAAAGCTCTGTTAAAGAGATACACTCATCTCATTGTAGCTTCAAAACATAAAAGCAAGGTCAACGCCGTGGCGTCCACACACAAACACGAGTCACCTTGTCATTCATCTTCTGACTGACACTCAGCAGCATCAGCATGTTGTCACACTCGGTGATGCCCATGGCGTAGAGATCACTGAGGACGTTAGCACACGCTATCCTGCCCTGAGAGACAGACAGAGAGAAAATACTAGTCAAAACAGGAAAATAACCGTAAGAGTTATCTTTTAAATGATTATTTTCAACACAGATCCAGGTTGGAACCAAATGTTACTGTAGTGCCTCCTGAAAAAGAACAGCTATCATTTTAGAGCTGCCTCTCACACTACAAGTGTGAAGAGATCTCGAGATATGAAAATGTGACAAAATTTCTTGTCGATGTGAAAAGCTGCCTCACGATATCAGCGTGGCGGCGTGTGAGGTTGAAATTATCAGAGAAGACACCACTTTTAAATTGTTTGTGTACAACATTTTGGAGTGACCAATATGACCAAAATGTAAATAACATTTCAAAATGCCCCTGCGTTGTTCTGCATTTTGTGACTTTCATTTCGTCATTGAAGATTTCTTCAAAACAGTGTTAAAATATCATCTCATTCTCGTGAGCTAAGCGTATCGTCACACCCCTAAAATTTACATGAACAAACATAAAAAAGGAGGTGTAGGTCCAAGATCCTTCTATCACCCACTCATTCAATCATTTCATTCAGTCTGGGAAACAGACAAACAAAATAAACAACACAGGAAAATTAAGTCTTTTCCTGTTTTCATCTTGAAGTGGGTCATCTACAAAACAAGAAAACCAAAAACACAAGTGGTAGTTCTGTTTTGTAGATTTCTGACTTACTTCAGGATGTTATAAATGAAAGGCATTAGTCCAGACACCAACCTTCAGTGTCAGGTTCATCAGTGATGACAGACGGACTGTAGCCTATTTTATGAGTGTAAGTGTGACAGAGTACAATGCTGGACTCAAACAGCGTTTTCCCACCAAGAAATCTGCAAGGTTTCCTGAATTTAATCCCAGGGTGAAATCGTTTGTTGTCCTCACAGCTGTGTTTTTAGCCACGGGGGTTCAGACAGTTCCTGTCACTATAACACAGATTTGACCCATTTTAAAATCAGTTTTTCCAGATTTAATGAAATAAGAGAATGAACGGATAATACAAGGACCCTCCCACTCATTATCCCGTCAGCAATCAGTTGAACCTTACACACAGGCATTGCTCAGTTTACAAGCATTGAGGCGAGTTTTGACATTATGTGGTTTAGGTTACACAACATTACACAGTGCTTCCTCGGTTTTACAATAATCCGATTTCATCCAGTATATTTGTACATTTATCTCTCTGTAGAGACTACCATAGGTACCATTTGCAGACTACCATAGATGGTAGGTTATTGTGACAATAAGCACACAAATTTGTTATTTTAATTGTGTATTTATTTTGTTCCTAAACACAAATATGTGGATCTATATTATCAATTAATATTTTTCCTACATACCGCCTGACAACTGCGGAAGTACTCACTGGGACACAGGTACCCCTGCTTGGGAAACACTGACATCGTGTACTATGCACATGATTTACGCACGAATCATGTGCACAGTTGTTGAAGGATGCTAAACTGAATGAAATAAAAGAGGTAATAAAAATACCAAAACACAAAACAGTAGAGCTGCAACAGTTTGTCAATTATTTGATTGGTCAGGACTGAAAATGAAGAAGAAAACTTTTATTTAATTGACGAATCAAGCAAATAATTGGCAGATTAATTGTTACTAGCAGCTCTACAAAATAGTGTAGACACATTATAAACGATTCACTTTACTTCCTGGATAGTTTCCCAAATGTGTGTGAGTGCTTCACCTTTACTCACCATCATGTAGGGATCCTCCACCAAAGGGTAGAAGAAGTCCGTGGTCTGGACCAGAGAGAGCCCCCCATGCCTCAGGGGGATCACACAACAGTCCATCCCCACCCCTGGAAACACACACCACAGTGAGGAGGGAAAGACACCAACAACAGCCTGCAGTAAACATGAATCAATAAATAGTAAGTTACAGGATATTTATGTTTGTGGTACATGTTGTAGGTTAATACATCTCTAAAGGCAGAAAACTAAGTAGTTTAAAGCACTTTCACTCAGGATTGCGAAACTGCTTTCCAGACAGAAGAAATGTTTGACCAGGAGTATGAACTTTGCACTTGAAGCATGAAACATCTTTCTGCTGAATCATACCGATCCGTGTGTTACGTTTCATTTTATAACTCACGGAACTTGTGTCCTCTTCTTGAACACTCTCAGCTAACCTGCTATCTGTCACATGCATTTATAGCTTCGTGACAACTTAGTCTAACGTCATATTTGAACAAATTCGACAGCTGCGGGTTATTAAAAACAAATTGTTTTTGTTGGCGGTCCGTCTGACAAATGACTTGCCAGATGAGTTAACACAAGTTAGCATGCTTAGCAACAGTTCCGCTAACGTTAGCTATCTGACGTTAACCATCGGGGTTTTTCTGACAAGAGGACCGCCGGGACATGCAGGTTAGCTCTGCTAACTGCGAATGTGTTTCTTACCGAGTCGGGGGCCGGGCAAAGGTTGGTCGAACTCCGGTACTTGGTCTCCGGCCTTCCCGGTCCCGTCGGCCCGGTCCGCTTCCAGTCCCGCCAGGAGTTTGAGCAGAGCCTCCTGCGGGACCTTGCAGCCTCATCCCTTCATTTCCGAAAAGGCTGTGAGACGGAACCCGCGCTCCAGGCCGTGCTCCTCGGGTTTGAAAGGCTTGTATCCGGGGGGAAAGCACCCCTCGGTCCCTACAGCCTCTGCCGAGGGAGGCGGGGAAGTCGAGCCCGACATGCCTGCCAGAGGACCACTTCGCCAGACGCGTACACCGGTAAATAAAGGACGCAGGGATGAATGGAGCGTGTGTCCGGCGAGCGTAGCTTGAAACAAGAGACCAGTATCAAGTTAACCAAAATAAAACCAATGCAACTTCCTGTCGGGACTTTCGCCGTATAAATTCATAGTGTTCGTGTTTATGTAAAATTCACAGAGCTTAAACCACACACGTTTTTCAAATGACCTTGACATTGGACTCTGATTACTGCAATATTTGAAAAAGGTTATTTAAACCTATATTGAAGGCTCGGCGGTAAGAGATATAGAAACACACCTCTTATTTTGAAGGGTTTCGGTCCCTCGCTGTTCAACTTGACGCAGAACGGTTGTAAGGCGTTACCATCTGCTGTCGCTGTCAGGTTTATCATTGCTATTTATTTGCTTTAATCGATCCATTTGTATCCGATTATGGGATTCTAACTCAAAGCACATTTTAATAATTACACTCTACCTGCATTAAATATTGCCGCTGCGATGAAGTTTTAAAGAAATCAAGTTAAACAGTTACGATTTCCCACGAAACATCGCAAATGGTTTCGTCGCAGTTGTACTACACTCAGGGCGCACACATTTTATTCATAGTCTATGGCACACACAAGACAAAAAAAAAAAACACATAACAGTGGTAATGGATTATTGATTTATTTGGTAAAATCAACAGTTTGAAACAATACTCCTTGCACCAAATTATCTAGAATTACAGACGATTCACACAAACTGAAGGACTCCCAATGTGCTTAACCTTCAGATAGATAAATAACTAGGTGCCCCAGGTAAAGATGGGACAGAATAAGGGGCACAGACAGGGCTGCATGGGTTAAGAGTCGGGTCTAGCATCAGAGATAAAGCGGAGATGCAATCAAAGGTGTACACAGGCACAGAACACAGAGAATGGCTACTTTTTTTTTCTCCAATAAGAGTAAATCCATCTCTAATATATAATACATGTTGAGGTAATGCAGACACCAACATTTATGACCAAAACATATTTTAATATTCTAATTTATTTAAAGCTTGCTAGGTTATTCACATTTGTTTCTTCCTTTGAAGGGAAAAGTACCCCTTTACACTTCTTTTTTTCCACCTTAGGCCCAATGATTACTGATGTGTACAACATGGATGATGCAGTCTATGTAGACACACTTGCTCAACAGTATGTAATCTCCTCATTGCCACCACACCACCAGAGTAAAGTAAGGGCTGCCGAGAAATGGGACTGAGGCACAAGATCAGGGATCATGTACAAATACTGATGGACAGAGGCATGGCAGGGGGAGGGGGTAGAAGGGAAATAAAAGAGCAGGTGCTGGGAGAAAAAAACAAAACGTGTGTTTGCGTAATAGGACAGCTACAGCGGAATTTGAATTCATGAAGCAGTACTAGGGAAATACCATGCTGATTATCTTGCTGTTGTCCTTTTCTTTCACTTGTTCATACTGTCATCTGATTGCCACTTGACTTGATTCCAACATATTTTTAAAAAATGATAAAGATCCACAGTATGCATTCAGGTTTGTGTGTGTTTGTATGGTAGAGAGAGTAACTAACAAACATGTTTTTCAGGCTGTGCCGAGAGCTGTAACCAGACACGCTGAATGTCAAAAAATGTAAATATATTGTACATATATATCTGTATGAGTGTGTTGGTGTCATGGTGTGCTGAAATATGCTCATGTTACTGTATACAGTCCATGACATGTATCTGCAGCGTGTCCATATCTGGAGCCTGGTACTTGCACTTCGGACAACATAAATCTGGCAGGTCCTCGGCTCCAGCTGCCCCTTGATCTCCGACTGGTACCAAACCCTGATTGCGGAACGATGGGGCAGGGGGCACCGTGTTGAAAGCTCCACCGGGGAACACACCCACACCTAAGGCAAAGGAGAAAGAAAGCATGTTAAAACACCTTCTTACCAGATAAAAATATATTTAAAATCACATGTTTTTGTTTACATGGGACCAGAAAGATCACTACAGTAGCCTGTTACTCGAAAGCCATTTTCTTGTACATGCATTGGGTCAAGACAGTGGACATTAATCAGTGGTGAACAGAAGGTACATACAATTCAGAGGAACTTGTACTGTCCTCGAGTATTTCCATTTTCTGCTACTTCACTACATTTCTGAGGGAAATATTGTAGTTTTTACTCCACTACATTTATTTTCAGATCATATGAGGATTTTTTTATTTATACTTTGCTAAGAATTAAACTAACCAACAGTAAATAAAATTACTTAGATTTTTTAGTTTCAACACACACAAGAGTTTTTGAAACTGAACCACATAACAAAAACTAGGAGCTGAAAGAGGCTTAAAACTGTAGAGCTGCAGAAACACCTTTCAAATTACACACAATCAACTGATTTATTGTTAATATATATAACTAATGATGATGGCAAATCAGCCCTTTCCTCAACCAGCAGCGATACTAAAATGCTGCTCACATTGGCAAGCAATTATTAGGGCAATTACAAACCATGCCAGTGGATGACAGTAGATCCCACAGACACACTTATCAGATAGGATTTTTGCTTTTAGATGATCTATTACAGAAAGTGTATGAAACCCATGACCCAAATAGTCATACATTCAGTCATTGTGTTACTTATGGATGAAATTATGGCTGGAGTACCCTAAAGAAGTGGTTCTTAAACTTTTTCACGTCAAGGACCCCTAAACTGACACATATTAGACCACGGACCCCCGTTTGATAACATTTTGTCCCAGGATCCCCCCATCTGATCAAAATTTTGCTTTTAGAATCAGAAACAGTTTTATTGCCAAGTAGGTTAACATGGAATTTTCTTTGGCTTATATAAATATAAAGTTAAAAAATTATATATATATATATATATATACACACAAAAATATAAAGGAATCATAAAGAAAATGTAAGAATATGCTTGTACAGTGATGTGCAAAATATTGGCATTGTGTAGTGTAAACGGGTGGGGACACAAGGGAATGTTTAAAACTGTTTGTGTCTGGGGTGGGAAGGGTCACCTCAGAGTCCTGGAGGCCTACAGGTCCTTGAGGGGTGGAAGATTGATTGGTTTGGATTGGTAGATGTTTTATTAAAGAAAGTGTATGAAACTCGACCCAAAGAGTAATTGTGTGACTTATGGATAGAATTAGAGTGAAAAAACAACTATTCCCCTTTTTGCTGGGGACCCCCTGGAACCACCTCAAGGACCCCTGGGGGTCCCTGGAACGCACTTTGTGAACCACTGCCCTAAAGGACCCCTGGTGGTCCGGCAAATGGCTATTAATTTATTAGCTACAATACGGCTAGTCTCATAAAGTGAAGATTGCCCCTAGTAATGTCAGTCTTGGGTTGGTTGGGAACGGCACCCCAAGACAGATCTCCAGTATTGCCCTAGACATCCACATGTCCTGAACGACTCCCTGTTTCAGTCTTAAATGTAGGACAATATCTTATGGAGCTGTTGAGGTCTCATGTAAACCCTACTCATGAAGCTCACAGAAAATGTTCAACGAGAAATGGACATTGACAGTACAATAGCTCCTACAAACATTAGGTACAACAGTACTTTCACATGTAGTCTATTTATTTAAATATGAATGTAAAACAAATGCAGCGATGAAGTATCCAATAGTAAACTCTATACACTTGTACAGAAAAGTTTAGACGGAGTAGAGTCCAGCGGTCCTGCAGAAGCAGAAGTTGTTGTCTCCCACAGATGAGCCAAGGGTACTACAGTGGATTTTCTTACAACTCATGGGAGGCAGTTGCTAACGCCACCTGCTGCTGTAGCTAGTAAACTGCTCTCACACTTACAGATCTGTTTACAAATCTCTGTGGTGATGGACAAAATTCCACAAATGTGTAAAAACGAAGTCAAAAATGTAATGTGACCTGCAAATTGACAAGAAGTGATCCGCAAATGTGTAAAAATTGATCCGCAAATGCATAAATAAAACTTGTATTATTTACGTGTCACACGCTCCTTGTGGGGGGCTAACACATGGTGGCTCCACTTTAATCTTGAGAAGCTTCAGAGCTGCAGTCTCTATTCATTCAACTTACACAGTAAATGTCCAGCAAAACTGAGGCTTATTGTTGACCCTTTTCTCTCTCTCGCCTGTCATTCACCAATCTTGTGCAGAGTTTTGCGTGCATGCCGTGCTGCCGACAACTGCATGCACGTCGTGGTTCCTCGCGGGTCTATTTCAAGTAGCCGAATATTTAAAAACTATGTAATATTCTTTGTATGGTTGATCAACGGTGATAAATTATCCAAAAGTCTTATGAGGTTAGGACAACTCGGCACAACACCAGTCAAGCTGGGGCTTCGTCTCTTCAGCAACTGTTCCTCCTCTGCCACTACACACATACACGCTACACATACATATGCACACTGACGATCCAGTGTTAGGGTTACAATTTTGGATTTATTCACGCACTTTAAAAACATTTATTTAAAGTTTTTTATTTTTTATTTACACCATTAAACATTGACATGTATATTGTATATATATAACTTATTGGGAGAGAACTGGTAGTTCTATGTAAAATCAGACTTTGAGCACCCCCATACAGTCAAAAGGGCATGATCCTTGTTTCACTGCGAAGCTTCGACTGTGAGATTGACAGTTGAATCGGGCTCCGCCCATTGAAGCATCGAATCTTCAACTATTTGGGGTCAGCCCTAATTTGTAGATAGTGAAATATTTGTCCATCATAGTACACATTTGTGAATTGTTTTCTGTGGGTTGCAAATATTAAAGTCCAATAAAATCTTCAATACTATAAAATATTGATTTTGTGAGCATAAAATTACAATCAAGCGTCCAGTGAATTGGACATTATGCATCACAATTAGTTATATTTCAACTTCAACACATAATATGCTACAACTTTAAAAGTACTTATTTTATAGTAACTTTTTCACTGTAAAACAGTTGATTTCTGTTTCTATTATTGCAGTTTACAGAATTACAGAATACATTTTTTGTGCAACTTCAGTCTATTGTGTAGCATCTTGATCATGTAGTAATTTTTTGAGGACAGCTAGAGACCGTAGAAGGGCATTTGTGTATGAAAGGCTTAAAAGATTAGTACTACTTCACATCTGTGTTGCATGTCATCTTGAATGCGTGCATTTGTGTGATGGTTGTAATGTACCTTGTGGAGGGGGAATGTTCGGCGCCCTTGTGGGAAAGTCTTCCAGGTGTCTCAGCTTCATTTGCTCCATTCGTGCACTGAGGTGAACATAGACAACTTTCATGTTTAATCATGCTTTAATTAATCTAGAAATATGAATATTCATGCAGAGGTAGACAGAGCTCTGACTAAAGATACTGTGTCAGTCTTGACGATGAGTCAACAGCCCTGCATTTGATGTTCACTGCAGTCAAGATGCTGATGCAGCATGTGATTACCAATTGAGATTGAGGGCAGGGAGAGAAATTTAATACACAACGACTATGTAACCTTGTATCAGAAATGACATCAGCAGAGATTTGAACATCACTCAAAATAGCCACTTGCAGCAAGACAGAATGATCGACTGTGTGACCGGTGCATATATGTTAACATGCCCGCATTCAGGACATGAATAAATATCATCAAACTTTTCTTTTTTACCGTGATGTGGCTTCTTGTTTGAGCCTCTCAATCTCAGCAGTGGCCTGATTCAGCTGATCCTGCAGCTCCTCCTTCTTCTGGTTCAGTTTCTCTCTGGCTTCTCGCTCTGCTAGGAAATCTCCCTTGTAGATCTCAGCCTGAGCAAACACAAATGAAATTTAAACTGCTTTTGACATAGAAAAAGGGTAAGATTAGTAGATACGCTAGGGCATTACTACTACACAAATGAACAAATCTTTAACACTGAACCCTCAAGCTGGACAGACTAAATGTGGCTGCTTAAGAACAGGCCTTGGCTTCTGGAATGTTTCCAGTGGAAACTGCAACAGAGCCGTGACTGAGCCGCAGTGCAGCCATATCTGCAATCTGCAGCTGGATGTGGTCAGCTCAGCTGTGACATGTGTGAATTTACAGTTGAACGCCTACTAGAAGACTCTTTTTAGCTCTAAAACTTACCAAAGACCAAAATTACTATTGAACAGACAGTTATGAACAGTGATGAAGTGAACACATTTAGCTTGAAATAAATACACAAATAAAACGACTAAGTCACTGACTGCGAGTCTTTGAACTGAAGTGATTTCTGTGCAGATAGGCTAAACAGCTGTGTCCCTGTACCTGTGCAGTGAGGACAGGAACAGTCTCCAGCGAGCCTCTCTGTTGCTCCACCTCCTCTTTCAGTTTATCAATCAGGTCCTGCTTCAGGGCCAGCGCTCTCTCTGCCTCCTCTAGTCGGCTGCACAGATCTCCTCCCTGGAACACACACACACACACACACACACACACACACACACGATAAGACACAGACCCATAAGCTAAATGGCCAAACTAATGAGGGTAAATGTGTTTTTACCTCACTCTTTAGTTTAGAATCATAGTCTCTAAACAGACATGTGTAGGCATGCTGCAGTTGTGTCAGTTTTTTCCTGAGGGGAACAAAGGGAAACAGAATTTAACCAGGTCTCAGGTGTCGTGCTATTAAAAGGCATTCAAGAATTTTGAACGAAACTCAGCTGCAGTAATTAGAACAGTAAAAATAGTTAACATTACAATTCTGTAAGGAAAATCAGGCATTACAACTGTATCCATTTATATTTTATTATTACGTAGACCCCAAAGTCCTGAAAAAATATTCTCTTGATCTTGTGTGCAGAAGGTGGGATAATCAAATACCATTTTACTTCAGATGTGTTTTCCTTAGTAAAAAAGTTAACATCTTGTCCCACTTCTTTGATGCATTTCCCTCTCTGGAATAAATCTAAATATCCTAACAGTACAGAAATCGAACCACCAGTAGGGTCACTGCTATCGGTCTGTGTTAAACCCACTTCTCCTCTGTGACGACATGTCTCTCCGTCTTCAGGGCCTGCTCCAGGCTCTGGGTCTGCAGCAGCAGCTTGTCCATGGCCACGTGATGCTGCTTCCTCTGCTGCTCCAGCTCCCGCTCTGCCACCTGCAGGGCCTTAATTGTACTGTTCAGCCTACACGCAAGGAGAGAGAGAGAAACACATCAGCACACAAGCACTACATTTAGATATTCATGCTGACGCGACAACTTACTTTTCTTCCAACATTTTGCGTTCATGCTCGCTTTTGTCCAGGCAGCTCTGTCTCTCATTCAGCTCTCCTAATAGGGATGTGGCTTGAGCCTTCAGAGCCTCACAGTCCTTGGCCAGCTGCAAAAATACAGAAAGCTTAAAGGCATCAGAGTAACAGTTTATATTTTAAGGCTGTATGTATGTTTATGAGAGAGTCAGAGGATAGGAGTCAGAGTTTAAGAGTCTCTCAGCCTGAGGAAAGAAGCTGCTCAGAAGTCAACAGCGTTCATCAGGCTGTGGCTGGGCACTGTCTTTTAGTATACTCTGGGCTCATGCCATGCCAAGATTTGATAAATCACAGCAGTTCATACCTGGGCACAGTCCTTGTCCTTCTGTTTGAGCAGAGCTTCAGTTCTGTCCCGCTGAGCTGAACTCTTCTGAAGGTAATCAAGCTTCTCCTCCAAGTCACGATACCTACAGACGCAACAGATTCATAACTAAACTGTGCACAACTGCTGAACAATGTCATTTTTGTAAAGAAATCACAATTTCAAAGTTTTTGCAAGAGCCACAAATGTATTAAATTATAATTTACATAATAACAATGTCTTAATGAGCTGTAGGAAGGGAAAGTTTAAGCCTGTAAATGAACTCAGTTGTGACTAATTAATGTTAATTCTGTGCAGAGTTGGAAGAAGAATTCAGATCATTTAAAAATAAAAATCAAAGTATCAATACCACACTGTGGAAATAGTAAAAAGCCCCATATTCAAAATTTTCTTATTCAAAAAGTATTACTTTGAAATAGTTTCCTATCCATTTGGTGTTTGAAGGTAATCTAAAGAAAGGAAACTCTTAATCCTATAATAAAAAAAACAGAGATGCAAGTCAGAAGATTGTTAATTACTGAAAGAATATTAAATAGATGCAATTGTACATAATATACAATATATGACAGATAAACATGGAGGAATAATAATCTTTGCCTGCCTTACTTACAAGTAAACAGATCCAAAAAAAAAAGAAAAGAAAAAAAAGTGGCAGGCAGGTGGCACCAGTAACTTAAGGAAGCATGCACACAAGAGAAAGAGAAAGCCACACAGAGCTGTGGGCTCACCTGCCCTGTGTGGCCTGAAGCTGCTCTGTGAGTTTAGCAAGGCTAGAGCTGGAGAAAGGAGCAGAAAGAGGAGGAGGAGGAAAATGACATCGCAAAAGTGAGTTATGTTATTAAGCAGAAAAAAGCATGCAAGTGTCTGCAGATAAACAGTACAGTTAAGATTAATTGAATGGCACTCAGTTCAAATGCTGCTAATAACAACTACTTAAACCCAAAAGTCTGTTTGGTGCCGTTAGTTTCAAACAATCCACTCAGTTATTTTGTATTAGGAAATCATAAGGCATCATACCAGTCAGAAGAGTGCTGTGCTTCAGAGCGATGTTGAACAGTCTCCTCAGTAATATTGCTGGTCTGTAAAAATATAAAAAAATAAATCAGGCTTTTGTCTTTTAGATCACAGATAAGGCAGCTCGTTCTAGCGTCTATCCAGAACATCTCTATTGTGGGAGAAATTAGACAGAAATTTCCCTGACGCCTGGGCCACACCGCCCACCTCTACCTGTACATGACATTCGTTTATAGCTTGCACTCCTACGTGTGATTTAAGAGCTAAGTGTTCACCAGTTTTCTCTAATTTAGGATATTCACTTTGGCACCAACAAAATTCACGATTGGTCCAGTCATATGAGTATACATACAGAGAGTTTGCCGTCCACCACAGTGGGAAACACTTACATAACCTTTTATTTTAGAAATCAACTATAATGTGAATTTGACAGACATGGAAATTTACCGGGTACAAAAGGGTCTAAAGACCCTACTAGTGACTGTTGAGAAGTCAGGATGTCACAGACTCTGCTGCCTCGATAAGTGTGTCTCTTGCCAGTCCCTCAACTTAATGTGTTCATTCTCAATAAATGCTAGAGATGGCTAGCTTGGTTAGCCAGAAAGTTGCCCCAGATGTAAATCCCTATGCAGTGAGCAACAGCAGCTAATCCAGGGGCTACTTTCAGTGTTAAAATGATTTATGTAAAGTTTGTGAGGCTTAGTGCTTCCCCTGATACACACTGCTCCAGCTGAGTTTCTCGAATCTCTACAACAGAGGTGATGAGTGCAAAGTTAG